GTACAAATGACAGATGTGTTCCATTTAGCTTCCACTTTGCATTATAAATATATAGCTTTATGGGACATAACTGTTTATCTAGTGGTCACTAACTGCATGTTAGCAGCCAAGTCTTACTTTTTCATAAAATTATTTAATGTCTTAGTAATTAAAGAAGTCTCATGATAAAGAAGTCTCATGACTTATAAACAAATAAAAGTAATCTACACTAGTTTCTTGGTTGCATTGACTCTATCAACTAGTTAATAAAAAGAAAGTAGTAGAATTAACAATGTTATGTGTCTTTATTTGCTTCAACAAACTGATGGAAATAACATTAAGGCTTATTACCTATGTACAAAGGATTTTTGTCAGTTTTTTCAACTCTGCTCAACAATGTTTTGCAGTTTTTATTAGTGATGGCCTACAGTTTATTTTTTAGACCCACTCCTAAATTAACAAAATAATTTTTATGGTTATGGTATAGATAGGTAGGTAGAAAGATAGATGTTAGATAGGTAGGTGATAGATAGGTAGGTAGGTAGATAGATAGATATATAGAGAGAGATAGATAGAGAGATAGAGAGATAGATAATAGACAAACACTTTTGTTTCTGTGTGAGTACCTTTCAGGATCTTCAGCAAATTTTACTTAATTCTATAGAGATGACAGTCTTGTCTCCTTGTAAGTACCTCATGCTTGTGAAGGTTCAATCTCTCACTAATGCGAGCACAATATTCTCTCATTATTTCATTTAGTGACCAGAGAGGAATATTTGGATCTTCTGTAGTTGGAATTAACTGATATATCTGCATAACATGTAGTTTAGTCTTGCTCCTGCCTGGGCTCTGCTGACTCCTCATGGGAGGGCTTACTTTTTCAGAGGAGGAAATGGGGGGTGGGTTGGGGGAGGAAGGCTGAGGGGCGGGAGGGAGAAGAGGGGAATCTGTGGTTGGTATGTAAAATAAACAATTTCTTAATTAAAAAAAAGAAATTAAAAAATACTGATAAAAAGGGGGACAATGTAAAGACATAACCATAGGTCAAAAGGTAACATAATCATAGCCACTCATGTCCTTCAGAGGCATAAGGAAAGAAAGCAATGGTCATGTGTTGCTCCATAGGGCCCTCTTATTCTGAAACTTGCTCCTAGCACTAGAATTCCTTATGTCAAAAAGTAAACACTGATCTTCCTATATTGAGGGTATGGCAATATTCAATTCAACAACTTCCAGCAGGAATCTAATGAGAATGTTTAGAAGGGGATAATGATGTGAGGTAAGCCCACCAGAGACTGCAACGTGGACCCTCTTAAAGCCAAAAGCAAAGTCTTTATTGCCAGCTGGCAACCATTCAGTCAACTTGCCTAAACCATGCAGCTCTGAGCCTTAAAGCTCTTTGAATTTTATGCACCAAAACTACATTCGGGTTGACACACTTCAGTTAGCAAAAAGTGGAACTATAGAAACCTAAAATTAAGGTTATTATATTTAGGAACTTACTAGTTTTGGGTTTCCCTGGAAATATTGGTTAGGTCTTTGTTCTCATTATGGCATGTTTTGGGCCCTATATGCTGGCCTTTAAGGTAAGTATAATGCCTCTAACTTGGCATTAGTATTGCTAGAATCTGAAAGACTGTTAAGGCAATGTGAAGTTGTATTCAGTAAGTATTTAGTATGTGGTGTCAAAGACCCAATAATGAGAAAAAAATCCTTAAAGTAAAACTGCAAATACATATTTATAAATAGTGGTTATTTTTATAGGTAAAAAATTGAGACATTATTTCTCTTCCTCCAAGAGCATTTTCAAGCTATTTAATACTTAATATGTATAAATAACCCATTATCCCAGATATATTTAAGGTAGTGGAAATTCATATGGAAAACTTTTGTATTAGACACATATTAAGTTTTTCAGTCTGGGTTGGTGAGAGTTCAATATATAATACAAAGGTGTGAATAAGTATATGAATATATTTATGTGTTCATTAGGGCTTCTCTGTCAGCATGCTTATGGCTCCTGTAGCATATAAGTATCCTAGACTGCCACACATTTCAGAGTAACTGGAGAAGGTAACTATGGGTTTGGGGATATTGCTCCTCCCCTATTTTTAGGGTAGGACTTCCAATGTTTTCTCTTATCATTATTCCACATTTAGGACAATTTACATGGCTAATGCTAATAATAACTGTTTTAGCTATTGGGCATTTCTAACAAAAGCAATTAGTACAGAAGAAAGGGATCTGAGTTAATGGATTAAGCCAGAAACCCCCCACAAAAATAAATAAATAAAAAGAAGTATTGATAAATAAATCAATTAATTAACAACTGTAAATACCAAAGCAAAGCTCCACTATCAGTGCCGGTAATTGCTTGAGCAGGGCTTCCCTGTGGGACATTAACCAGCTTTGCTCTTCGAGGGAAGCCATCTTACAGGCTGAAGGCCCACGCTCCATTTGGGGAGTAAGATGCTGTCCTTTACAGTTGTTTCTTTATTCGCAGTGGTAGTGTGGTAGCAGGTGAGCTCTCTTTTTGTTTCATAGAACCATAGTAGAGTAGTCTTTTTTCAGCTTCCTGGGTCTCCTGTTGTTGTTGTAAGCATTGCCCCATTGTAATCCTCTTCTCCACACCCAGAGATTCACTCAGGGGACATGTTACTAAGCGTCTGGGAAAATGTGTTATTTACTAGAACTAAATCTATCACTGGGGCTTTTTTTCCCTGTGATTGCTTTCCACGGCCATTTTAGACTATTTCTATTGAATATCTAATATTGAAAGCACCCCAAGGTAAATTTAAATATTAACTTGGAGTGTCTGGGATCCTATTGTATCCAGACTTTTGGGATGCCTGCCTATTTCTCTATATAAATATATTAAGCACAGAAATGTAATAGTCTTCTGTAAGGCTCTAAGCAGGCTAGGAAGTGGAGACAGCTTGGTTTTAAAATGATCATTAGCATTCATTCATGCTCATTTGGCAAAGATAAGAATCTTGAAACATTTATTTATTAAATGAAAATAGCATAGGCAGACAGATCATAGTTCTCATACCTAAATGCTGCAATTCTAACATTAAATATCAAGCTAAAAACCTTCAAATGCACATTATGTATTCACATATTAAACTAGGAATGCCAAAAATAGTCATTCTAATGAAAATTCTGAATATTAAATGTCCACAGATTTTTGTCACTCATGTAATTTCTTTCAAGGCACAATGAGTTTTGATCCTTGGTGTATTAGAACAAAGTAACACATAAAAACAACCATATGGAAACAATTCTTAACACATAGGAAAAGATGGCAGTGAATTAGAATGCTTTAATCAAGTAATTCACTATTAATATCCTGTCAAAACATTCTATCTAATGTTTTCTTTCCCCATTACATTTCAGGCACTATATATGGAATTACATTGGAATTTTGTGAGACTGTCTAGAAAATTCTAAAGAGAATGCCTAAGAAGGTGAATATATATGTGCTGTGGGATGTTCTGTATGTCCTGTGGGAGCCTGTTCTCAGGTTCCTCATGGCTTTACCCAGCAGGTCCACATAGAGGATGATTAGGACCACGGGCCTGAGTGCAGGTGTCTGAGATTATCTGTACTTGGCCGTGCTGGGGGATGGTCTGTATGTCAAGTTGCTCTGATTGGTCAATAAATAAAACCTGATTGGCCGTGGCTAGGCAGGAAGTATAGGCAGGACTAACAGAGAGGAGAAATAAAAGAACAGGAAGGCAGGAGTCACTGCCTGGAGCCACCGCCAGGACATGGAAGCCACAAGCTACGTGGCAAGGTATAGATTTATGGAAATGGATTAATTTAAGATATACAAACAGTTAGCAAGAAGCCTGCCATGGCCATACAGTTTGTAAGCAATATAAGTCTCTGTGTTTACTTGGTTGGGTCTGAGCGGCTGTGAGACTGGCTGGTGACAAAGATTTGTCCTGACTGTGGGCAAGGCAGGAAAACTCTTACATATATGTCTGTATTAAAATTTATTGCAATTACCGGCACAACCAGGCTGGTAATCCTGGTGGACCTGGACCTGGTTGTCGAGGACGAGGTAGATGTCAAGGCAACTGGAATATGGGACCACCTGGTGGACTACAGGAATTTAATTTCCTTGTGCCAACTGGGAAAACTGGATTGATAATTAGAAAAGGAGGTGAAACCATAAAAAGCATAAGCCAGCAGTCTGGTGCAAGAATAGAGCTTCAGAGAAATCCTCCACCTAACGCAGTTCCTCATATGAAGTTATTTACAATTGGTGGCACTCCACAGCAAATAGACTATGCTTGGCAACTCATAGAAGAGAAGATTGGGAGCCCATTAAATCCTTTAGGGCCACCTGTACCCCATGGACCCCATGGGGTTCCAGGTCCTCATGGGCCTCCTGGGCCTCCAGGGCCTGGAACTCAATGGGACCATACAATCCTACACCTTACAACCCAGGACCGCCTGGCCCAGCTCCGCAAGGTCCTCCAGATCCATATGCTCCCCAGGGATGGGGAAATGCATATCCACATTGGCAGCAACCGGCTCCTCCTGACCCAGCTAAGGCAGGAACAGATCCAAACTCAGCAGCTTGGGCTGCTTATTATGCTCACTATTACCAACAGCAGGCACAGCCCCCACCTGCAGCTCCCACAGGTGCACCAGCTACAACCCAAACTAACGGACAAGGTAACTACAGAGATCAGCAGAATCCAGCTCCAGCTGGACAGGTTGATTATACAAAGGATTGGGAAGAGTACTACAAGAAAATGGGTCAAGCAGTTCCTGCTCCTACTGGGGACCCACCAGGTGGTCAGCCAGATTATAGTGCCACTTGGGCTGAATACTATAGACAACAAGCAGCAAACTATGCCCAGACAAGTCCACAAGGAATGCCGCAGCATCCTCCAGCACCTCAGGGCCAATAATATGAAGTGGACAATACAGTAACAATACAGTATTTGCTTCATTGTGTGGGGGAAAAAAACCTTTGTTAAATATATGGATGCAGACGACTTGATGAAGATCTTAATTTTGGTTTTGGTTTAAAGTAGTGTTTTCCCCTCTTTTTTTTTTTTAATTTGGAAAATGTACAAAATATCTATCACTACTGATAGGAGGTTAATATTTCTGTGTAGAAATGAAAATTGGTTTGTTTTTAGTCTTTAGTGTAGATGTACACATTCCAGCAAATGTATTTGCAACTATTATGTAGTCAATGATTTGTGATATAAATGTACTTTTTCAATGTATACTTGCACTTTTAAAATGCCTGTTTTGTGCTTTACAATAAATGATATAAAACCTCCTGAAAAAAATATAACAATTACCAAATATTAAAAGAATATGAATTCTATAAAACCTTACTACTTGGGCTTGTCTCAGATACTACATAGAGTCTTCATGATTTTTTTAAATTAAGTTACTAATAAATGACTTCTTTCATGATTAAAGAGTTTATTATTTCACATGGGTTCATTCATTTAAAACAAGTATTATGACAATATTTTAAAGAAACAGCTTTCTAAGCATTAAACTACTTTGAGATGCAAAGTAGGACACATAACCTTCTTACTTTTGTGGATGAATTCATTGCTCACCACAATTCAATCAATTGAATTCATTTATTTTGCAAAAGAAACACTCTAGCAAACAGTGAATAGCTTATTTTAACATTGAAAGGTTACAAAAGCCACCATGCTGTGCTACAGAGAAACATTTAATTTAGTGAAAAAGCAAAACAGAAATCATCTTTATCAACAATTACAACAATTTTCCTTGCAAAGTCCAAGAGGGGTTTTGAAATAATTCTTCTTTTTAAAAAATAGGATAAATGCTGATCCCCACTGAGGTGAGGGACTGTGGTGGAGTGGTATCCAGAGAAAATTTATTAGTATTTTAGCTTTGGAAATGGTCTCTATATTCTTGACAAATGCTGCTGTAAAATCCTAAAAGCAAATAGAGCTAAAGAAATTTCTCCTATCATGCATGTCAGACAAGAAAGGCAAATTCAATCTATAATAGGCTGTCATGATCTAAGGCAGCCTTCCCCAATGCACCCAGCTTTTTTTTCATTAAGTTTTCAGACTTTGTTCAGTAATTGAATTCCTACTTAAATCTCAAAGCACCTGTTTTATGACTAAGCCTTGCATCAGCATAAACAATTGTACTGATTCACGAGACGCATGAGCTTCCTGGATTTGTTTTTATTTTGTGACTATGGCTGCTAATTGCTAAATGCATTGGTGGGTATACCTTGCTGACTATATATTTTCATATATATGTATTCATATATATGTACATATATATTTATGAAAATACTGACAATATACTGTCTCTATCTATCTATCTATATCTATCTATCTATCTATCTATCTATCTATCTATCATCTATATCTATATTTACATACACAAACACACAAACTCACACAAACCTGTTACAATGTGTTGAGGATGTTTTGTCAAAGTTGATCAAATACCTTAGAGAAATCACAGTAAGTTGGTGATATTTTAGGAACAAATCATGATTTTCCACATTGTTCCTAAAGTGTAAATAAGACAGTAAGAAACAGAGCTACCCAGAATATCTTAAACAAAACAAAACAAAACAAAAAACAAACAGCATCTAGGGCCTCCTCTCTCAGTTAAGTTACTTTACATCAAAATTTGATGAAAACGATCATGGGGAAAGATACTATTGTGGTCTTAAATAAAAATAACATATTTAAAAGATCATCATTAATGATGTATGTGATTGATCAACTTTCTCATTTAAATTTCTAGCATGTACAATTTTGGTTCTCTGAGAAAGTCAAATTTAATTTCTTGATGAATGTTGATGAACTACCATCTGAAAAACTTTTGTACTATTAGCCATGATCCATTTGTCTTTATAATGGCACAACATTGACATTGTTTCATTAATATAACATTTACAGATTTAGTTATGGTAAAGAACATCTTTCCCCAGAATTGTTTTTGCATTTATTTTTCTTCTTTTCAAAGTGCAGTTGGAGGGTAGTTATCAGAGTCATCAGAAGATAAGAAATTCAAAATTCATGTCCTGTGAGAAAATAGAGGTTTTAAGGATTCCTGAGGGATTCCAGGAAAGCATTGAAGTAAGTGTAGTCTTTATGCTGTCCACAAGTAAATATTTTCTCTATTTTGGGCCAAGGTCCTTTGTCCCAAAAACTCATTTGCAATTTATAAAATACTATCATTTGTGGAGAGACTGGAGCTTAGAAAAGGATTCCATTTTTATACTGTGATTAACACAAAAGGTAAAAACCATTTAAAACTAGTAGGCTTCTGGTTATACAGTCTTGAAAAGAATGCAGCAGTGCATTCACTCATGTAAAAAACAAGGGATATTAAATATTGTGGTGGTTTGAATAAAAATGGCTTTGATATTGTTGTATATCAAAAATTGTTGAAGTAGGCGTGTCCCTGTTGGAGAAAGTATGAGGCTAAAGATAGACTATGAGGGTTCAGATACTCAACGGGGGCCCACTTGCTCACTATTTTTCTGCTGTCTGAGGATCCAGATGTAAAACACTTAACTGTCTCTCCAGCACCATGTCTGCCTGTGTGCTGCCATGCTCCTTGCCATGAAGATAGCGGACTAAACCTCTGAACTATGTCCCAGTGCTAGTAAAATGTTTTCCATGATAAGAGTTGCTGTGGTCATGGTATCTCTTTGCAGCAATAGTCATTTTGAAAAAGTCAGCAAACTACTTATGATACTATCAAGTGCGAAGAAACGGACTACTTTTTCATCTGTAGCCACAACACTCACATAAGAAAGAGAGAGAAAAAGAGACAGAGACAGAGAGACAAAGAGAGACAGAGACACAGAAACACAGACAGAGACAGAGACAGAGAGAGAGAGAGAACACACATGTGACACTAAACAAAGTAACTCACTATGAAAAATAAAAAAAGGAAGAGTCCATGGAAGACTAGAGATCAGTTTTACCTGGGTCTGAGAGCTACCCATCATGAATGGAAACATTACTACATCTGTTCCGAAATGGGGCCCAGTAAGGATCCCAAGCAGCTGAATCTGGGTTTCATACCCCTGTAAGTGCCATGAGATGACTGGGAATGATGGGTCAGGGTATGCTGCTCTAGGAGGACAGAACAGAGGACACTGTTCCCAATTATTCCTTGTTTGTCTCAGTATGTTCAATTCTGAGCTCATAGCTCTATTATTCTTAAAACTGACAAGTTATAAAAATGTAGGAAAATGTGAGGACAGGTGAGGCATGTTAGGGCTTGTAACACTTTGAGTTAAAAGAAACAAAAATTAAGAGAAAAAATGCAATTGGATAAATAAGACAAAAAAGTATTATGAAGACAGTGCCATTGAAATCTGAAATGGGGGTTGAGCAGAAATAGGAAGGTTCCAAAGTGTGATTGACGGTCTAAATATAGAGGAAAGAAATTTGTTTGCTGTTTGTTTGATATGGTTTGCTTTGCTACTTTTTTATTTTTGCATATTAATAGTCTCTAGTACTGGAACTATATGGGAAGTATATTAAAATTAATACTGGAGAATAAATTAAATTACTATTATGTAGATGCTGGAAAGCTATGTTTTCATGTTATTATGGTTCGAGAAGTATTTGTATTACATTTTTAGACACTGCAGTTTTCCAGCTGCTTCACATTTCTACGGCCATATCTTCTCTGCCATAATCGTCTCATCTCAAACAGTGATCACAATAAACTGTTGCCTCTTTAAATTTCCTCTTGTAAGGCATTCAGGTGCAGCAACAAGAAGCATAAGTAAATGATATTTTGCTTTCTGTTGAAATCAGACTCTTCTCTGCTCTCAGCTACAACATATTTTATTAAACAATGTTTTTTTTTTTCAGTCTGCTCTGCCCTAGAAGGCTCCATTTTTCAAAACAAAACAGAAAATCTTGCTCCATCTTTATGTCATAGGATGGCTAGAGTCCTGGTTAGACCTGAAAACCACCATTGTTTTCAACACTAATCAACACTGACTGTTATGTGATGTTTTCTCAAAGACAGAAAGCAACCTACCCTATAAAGGCATCAGTATGCACTGAAACTGTAGGAACACTGGGTCTGTCAGAAAATCAGGTCTGAGAAAATATGAGTCAAAGAAAAATAATGAAAGGTGGTAATTCTCTTCCTGTACCGTAAAGTGATAGAAACTTAACATGGTTATGGCATAGCTATCAGCTGATAGTTGTGTTTGTGTCAAGGATGGAAATGTGGAGGAATCTTGAATTGTCCCTAGTTCTCAGCTCTGCTCAGTTTCAATGCTCTTTGTCCATATATTTACCTGTCCCAATCTGGAGTTGGACTCGCTGTCTCCTGTTCCTATCCTTGTTCATCTTTCACGTGTTGATGCCTCTTATATTATGACTCCAGTAGTTCAATTACCAGCTCCCTCCTGATACTGATCTGGTTCGTCATCTTTCTTAGTCCACTTCTTAAGCCTTTAAAGTTTGAACTCTGCTATAACTACTTCTAACATGTATTCATTCAGGAAACCAAATATATTGAGATAAATACAGGCATATATTATGTGTGGTATCTAAAATGATACAAGATTTAATATTAGTAATTAATTTTAGAATAAAACAACTTGCATTCTGCTAGGCCAGATAATTAGAGTGGCTTCATATTTTCATGAATAACACTTAAAATTTTGAAAATATGATTTTAAAAGTAACTAAGTTTGTAAAACCTAGTTCTCTTCAGTTCCCAATGACTTTTTAGTACACTAAAGGTAAAAAACACATCATTTTTATATATCCGTTGAACTTAACTTTAATCACATTCTCTTTTAAAAACCCAGAAATTAAATCAATGCTACCAGTCCTGTCTTATAAGCATAAAAATTAACTTCATTAGTAGGAAAATAATAGAAGCTTTAGATGATTGAAACTGTCTAGTTAGCTTTGCTACCTCCACAGCCAGATAATGGAAGGAACTTTGTGGTATTAAAATTAAAGAAGAGAGAAGGGGGTGAGAAGAATGAAGGTAGGAAGGCAAGAAGGAATGAGGAAAAGAAGGAAGAAAGGAAGGAAGGAAGGAAGGAAGGAAGGAAGGAAGGAAGGAAGGAAGGAAGGAAGG